AGAGAGAGAGAGAGAGAGAGAGAGAGAGAGAGAGAGAGAGAGAGAGAGAGAGAGAGAGAGAGAGAGAGAGAGAGAGAGAGAGAGAGAGAGTTAGAAGACAGGATAGAAGGTAGGTGGAGTGAAGAAAGAAGAATGAGGAAAGAAGAGAACATACATGAGCCAGGGTGAGAAGGATGACGATTTTGGACGAAGATAGCAAAAAAGCCAGAAGGAAGAACATATGACAGGAGAAAGAAGGTGAGAGATAGGAAGGATGAGTGAGGAGAAGAAGAGGAGGAGGAAAAAGAGGAACGGAGGAAGGGAAGAAGCAGACAGTCGATGACACATTTGACCCTCCTGCCCAACCGCTGATGACCGCCGACTGAAGCCTGTCCGCTGTCATGCATGCAATGCATTCCCTCGCATGCATGCAATGCCTGCAATGCCTTCCCTCTTCCATCCATAGACCCCGCACCCCCTGCCCATGCATTGGGTCACCCTTCTCAATGCCACCGCCTGCAGCCGGCTGCATCTCCCCCCCCCACACACCGCCCCGCCTGTCACACGACTGCACTCCCACCGACAGATCCTACTTTCCCTCCATGTCCGCCATTGATGCCTTCCCCTCCATTGCCCCCCCACCGGTCATTGATCCCTTCACCTCCTTCGCCCCCTCACCGTCCCGCCCGCTCGACACTTCACGAACGTCGACACATTTGACCCTCCTGCCCAACCACTGTTACTGCTCCGCGCAAAACAAACCGCCCACCCCAACCACTACATTGACCATTCACGACAAAGACGTCTTCCGCGGTGGTTTTTTTTTTCCCTTTTTCTCTACGCCATGTCTGAACATCTCTGCAGAAGCGTCCACATTCAGGCGCTGAGCTAGCTCACCGCCCGCAAAACTAACCGCCCACGCCAAGCACGACTCACGACAGCAGCTTCTTCCGCGCCGCTCCTTTTTTTTTTTGGAATTCGATTTTTTTTTTTTCTCAACGCCCACGATTCACGACAGAAGCTTCTTCCGCGCCGCTCGTTTTTTTTTTTGTTTAAATCGATTTTTCGATATTTCGTCTTTTCTCAACGCTTGGTTTCTGCCGAACTTGCCCCTTCTAACTACTATTTCGTCCACCCTTCCTCCCAAAGAGGAAACACCCGCCCTCGACCGGAAAACACACCGACGACCTGCCTGTCCTAGAATAGGTCGCCGGGTCCTTTGACTCACCCGCTACTGGTCTTAGACTTCCCACCGACCGCACCCTTCCCTTTGGCATTTCCCGACCCCGGAATTCCCCCTTTCGACCTCCTTTGGACTGGACGACATGCCACAAATAGAAAGTGCCACAAAACGACAAAAAGAGACAACCGGACTAAGCGCAGCCTTTTGGCTGCGAATACGTTAAATGCCTTACTTACCCTACTCCATCTGGCTCATCGTCGGCCACCTTGACACGTGGAAGAGCTCCTGTAGCTACAGTGTGCCCGTGAGATGCATGGTCATCGAAGTCCAATTCCAATTCAGAGGGCGCACAACTACCGTCTTCAATCTTCTCCCTCTTCTCCTCTGCCCGCGCTGGGTCACCTTCACGAGCGTCATGCCTTCTTGCCATCTTGCCGGAGGCAGAGGGAGGGTGAGTACTGTCAAAAGGACCTGTGCGTCCTGGCGCGGAGGGAATGTGCGATTGTATTGGCCGCACAGATCGGCCGTACACGTCCACTGCATGGCTTGCCGCCGAAGCCAACGGTCGAGATCTCTTACGCCGCTCGTCATCGTCCGGCGGCATGAAAATCTTGCGTATGCCTTGAACCATTTTGACAACAACGTCTCTCGCCCCCTCCTCTTCTGTCCAGTCATCGAGTGAACCTCGCTTAGTTTTCCTTCTCTCTTCTTCCTTGGGGTCGTTGGTAGCCCTCGTGATGATGTCCTGCTGTTGCTGGTGCTGCTGCCGATCTCCCTTCTGTTCGTTCGACTGCCGAGAGGCCTCAATCAACCCCTCCGAGGCCTCGATCAAGCCTTCGGAAATCCGTTTATCGCGATCCTTGCCTTCAGGAGGCAGCAGGTTCATCTTTTCTGTCTCTAAGATTACGCTTCCCGGTCGTCTCTCTCCCTCTCCCTCTCCCTCTCTTTCTGTCTCTCTCTCTCCCCCTTCTCCTCCCTCTCCTTCTTGCTCTTTGTCATAGCTGACACTCTGTTCCAAACAACTGTTTGCAGTAACAGAGACTGCCCCGTCGGGAGTTTTTTTTTTTTTTTTCGGGACGTCGGGAATTTGTTCACGTTGCTGCTGCTGCGCAGTCGCGGCAGGTTTTTCGACGTCTGGGTGGATGTCTCGGTCGGGATCTTCTCCCTCTTGGCCGCGAGGAGGCGGGAAACGGGACGGAGAAGTTGCCACGTGACTTCCATCCAGCCCGTCGAACTCCTGCAGCGCTGGTAGCAGTGCAAACGTCATTGCCCGTTGGGCGGCGGTGGCGCTCTTATCGGTCAAAGTGTCAGACTTCCGTCTGGACTGCAGTCGTGATGCGCGCTCACGATCTTCTTCTCTTCTGTGAAATCGCCCTGCTGTCGTTGCTGCAACTCCTATTGCGTCCTCGAACCAGGAGGGGGTGGATGGGGTCTTTGCACTCCCATCATGGCTCGTCTTGCGATATCGATGGGGTGGGGGCTTTGATAGTGTCCAGGCTTCTCTCACCTTCTTGCTTTGGTAGGAAATGTAATCACCAATACCGACAGTGTCCCTTCTGCTTCCTTCATTTCCGTCCATCCATGGCCTTTGTGCAGGACCACCACTGTTTCCTCCCGCGCTGGGTCTCTGCTGCTGAAGAGACGCTACGCCGCCGCCGCCGCTTCCGCTTATCTCGCCCTCCCCCTTTCTTCTGACCTGCTCCCTATCTCGCTCATCACTCGTCCTATGATCCCTGCCATTCATTATACTTCCGGTACTCGTACTACTTTTGCTTCTTCTACTGCTTCTGCTGCTACTACTTGGGCGACTCCTCTTCTTATCCCTTAATAACTCGTCGGAGGCGTTGACCATCTCCATCTCCACCTCCACCTCCTCCTCCTCCTCCTCCTTCGCCACGACGCCGCTGCTTCTATCTGGAATCGAACCCAAGTAGCTATCGTCGGCAGCGCACTCAAAACTGCTTCCTTGGAAAAATCCCGCCCGAATAAGCCGGTTACGGCACGAACGGAGGGCAGCGTTACATTGCAAATGCTCTTCCCGCCATTTGCGTTCCTCACACTCGTAGTCACATTCTTCCTCGGAGTCTTGTCCCGCGTACAACAGCCCTGCGAGTCTCAGTTGACCTGCAGGTTCGAACCAGTCCCCGATCCAACGCCCGAACGTGCCCCCCCTGTCGCGACGGCTACCCCGCTCCTCTGCCGCCCCATGGACTCCTCTGACTCCGCTGCGCTGCGGTCCAACCCGACCGCCGAACTTGAACACTGACCTGACCCTTGACCCCCTTGACCCACGTCCAATGCGCCCGTCTTCGGTCCTCTTTTCATCAATTTCCCCCTGCTCCGCCGCCTCCGCCTCCGCCTCCGCCGCCGCCGCCTCTGCCGCCGCCTCCACCACCGCCTCCGCCTCCGCCTCCGCCTCCAACGCCGCCGCCGCCTCCGCCTCCGCCTCCGCCTCCGCCTCCGCCTCCGCCTCTGAAACAGCCACGCCCCCGCCAACTTCCTTCTGCCCAGTGGTAGCAACCGTGTCGCCTTCAGCGTCTGCCCCCGCCGCTGGTGCTTGCCGCCGCTGCCCTTCCTTCCTGCCATCAAGAACGATGACACCTGGGTCGTTTACCTTTTCTGGGTCACAGTAATTGTCGTTTTCTAGAGGCGGCCCGACCTCTTGCTGTGCTTCCTTCTCGCCATCGAGGTCAATTACATCTGGGTTGTTCCTCTTTTCTGGGTAGTTGTCCTTAGCTAAATGATGAGGACCGTCGCTTTCCTTTTCATTTCCTTTTATGTCTTCTCCCACTACATTCCCGATGTTCTCTCGCTGTGTTCCCTCCTGACGACCACCAGCGAAGGCAACCGTTCTGTCAGCTGCGATTTCACCGGCGCTGGTCTTGCGCTTCGCGAATCCGCCGCCTCTCTCTCCCCCCGCCCCCCCCCCCGCCCCCGCCCGACGTCCTTTCTTCTTTGCCAAGCCACCTGTACTTGGACTACGTTTCCTGCCGCTGTTCTCATTCGTTGATTTTCGACTGACCCCCCTGTCTTTCGTGGTTTTGGCGGGAAGGGGGAATCTCGCGGAAGCAGATGGTGGTGGGCGTTCTCTCGGCTGTCGCACAGGCCTCTGCTTCTCATCGCCTTCTTGTATTCGGGCACGATGACCAATTAGCTTCAACTCAGGAGGATGGGCGTTCTCCCCATCCCCACCCCCACCCCGGCCGCGAGGAGGAAACAGACGAAGACGATGTCCGTGCACAGGTAGAGGAGGCGCTGACCGCGCATCCGATTTGTTATTGTCAGCCAATCTAGGCGAGTTCTCATTGGCTCGTTTCCGTCCCGCCGTCTTCTTTCCCGCCTTACTAATACCCCCCCTCTCCTCTTGGTCTTTCTTCTCCCTGATCTCCTCTTCTTCCCCCTTTTCTATCGTGTTTTCCTCTCGTACTACCAAAATATTACGAGTGGTTGTTCTCGTGCCGCTCTGATTATCTCCTGACTTAGTCGATTCCTCGACCTCCTCCTCCTGATTGACGTCCTTGCCATCGCGATTGTTTTGAGGATAGTTTTCTCGCAAAATCTCCTCCCTCACCCACTTTGATGATGACACAACCCAGCCCCCTTTGCTTTCACGATGATGATGTTCATCCTCGGCAATCACTGAGTAGCTGCTTGGGGTTTTCTTCTCCTCCATAGTAGCCTTTCTGAAGCAAACACTTGTGTCCGCAGCTAGACAAGACGGTGAAGATGGGCTTTCTGGGGGTGGATGATGTTCCTCCTCGGGGGAGTGTATCGTAAGCCACGAGGTCGCCCGCTCACTGATTGATCTCATAGGGCACTCTTTCGCGGGAAGACTTGAAAAATTGGCGGCGGCGGCGGCGGCGGCGAAGGCATGGGCTAAGTTGTCGGACGGATTCCGCTCAGTACCGCCGCCCTCATCAGAGGAGGATTGCAAAATTGGTGCTGCGACTGCAAAAGCGGAGGTCGCCGCAGTATTCGTTGTCAATTCCACCTCTCCCTGCGCAGTATTCATTGTCAATTCCACCTCTCCCTGCCAAAGCTTTCTCCGTGGATGCTTCTCCTCCTTCGGGTTCTCTCTCTCTCTTCAAAGGAGCGCAGCATACCGTTCTCGAGGGTGGTTAGCAAGGCTGAGAGAGGGAGGGCGAAGCTGAGTCCTGCACTTTTTATCACATGCTTTCGGGCTTCTTGAGCGGTTCATAGGCAGAATGCTGAGTCCAGGCTGTGTCCAACGACATTCTCGTCCGTTTCCAGAAGAGTGCTGGTTGCTTAGGAGAGAAGGCTCTGACGATTGCCTGTTCTCTTATTACCATTTCAAACAAGTTCACAAACAAAAGGTTCAATATGACCGTTGAAGCGAAAGAAGAAAGAAGAAGAGATCTGCTCTGTTTCTTTGTGTGGGGAAGAGAAAGAGAGAGAGAGTGTGTTTGAGAGAGAGAGAGAGAGAGAGAGAGAGAGAGAGAGAGAGAGAGAGAGTGAGAGAGAGAGAGAGAGAGAAAGAGAGAAAGAAGAAGAGATCTGCTCTGTTTCTTTGTTTTTTTGTGTGTGTGTGAGAGAGAGAGAGAGAGAGAGAGAGAGAGAGAGAGAGAGAGAGAGAGAGAGAGAGAGAGACGATTGCCTAGTCTGTTACATCATACAGATATGGGCGAACCAAAAGGGCCTAGCTCCACCACTCTCCAGATGCACATAAGACAGAAACGATGGCGGTGCATCTTTCCATGTTCTAGCGGAGGATTCACTCTCATTTTGCACATTTGGCAGAGTAGTGGAGCGAGCCCCTAATTCATAAACAAGGTACAATATGAGCTTTTTGAGGCAAAGGAAACAAAAGAAGCGAGACTATTTCCTTTGGCCAATTCTCTCACACACTGCTTAGGGCCTCGCTCCACTACTCACCACATGCACAAAAGACAAAATATTGCGTGTATATTTCCATGTTCTACCGGCAGATTCATTCCCATTTTGCACATTTGGTGAGTAGTGTAGCACGGCCCTTTCATCGGAACAGAATCATAACCAAAGATTCAACATCATCTTCGAGGCAAAGGAAAAAAAAGAAGAAGCGAAGTTGTTTCCGAAGGGCGAGAGAGATTTCTGACGATGGCCCATTCTCTCATATAGAACGCCCGGTCACTATAGCTGTACTTGTGGCCCATTTCAGTCCAGGTACAGCGTTAATGACCAGGCGTTCTATTCGGGTGAAGACGAGTAGTACGAACTTTGGGGGACAAGAGCGAGCGCGTGCTCTGCTTTTTCTTTGTGCGTTTTTTTTTTTTTTTCATTATTATTATTATTATTATTATTATTATTATTATTTTTGTGCGGTTTTCTGTATACGGGATGAGGATATCGATCGCCTTTTCTTTTTATTTTCTTTTTTTTTAATCGATCGCCTTTTCTTTTCCTCTACTACATCATTCACATCTCCTGTACCAAAAAAAAAAAAAAGAAACACGGTTCAGTAGACCTTGCCGAACGCGGGGTCTAAGTCCACTAGCAGAGTTGAGCTACCTCAACGCGTGAATCTGGACGTGTTTGTGGAGACGTGCAGTTCAGGAAACTCAACACCATTTCTGGCGTTCAGGCAGCTCAACGCTGCTACCGTCTTCCCCCGAACATATTTCCGGTCAGATACAGCCAAAATAAGGGTGCGTTGTGTTTGGGGGAAGACGGTGGGACTTGGCTCCGGGTGATCGAGGGAAAAAGAACCTCGACGCGCGGGCGCTGCTGTGTATGCCAAGCAGAGAGTCAAAGAAAAGAAAAGAAAAGAAAAAAAAAGCACAGAGCGCGGTTTATTGTCGTCTGCATGGAGGGGATGGGGGAACAGTCGCCGGAGAAGAGAGAGAAGTGGGGGACGATTGCCATCGAGGGAATTGCGCATGGTCGGATCGGGAAGAGGGACTTATGAACATCCTTATTTTTTTTTTTATGCTTTGAAGAAGCAAAGATGGTAGAGTGGAAGAGGGAGTTGTGCCCATTTTTTTTTTTATGCTTTGAAGAAGCAAAGATGGTAGAGTGGAAGAGGGAGTTGTGCCCTCTTCGCCCTCCAGCAGTCGTCTGTGTAATTAGGGCGACGGGCATTTACGACTGGGCTGCGGTCGTCCTGAAAAAGGAGGAATAAAAGACGCAAAAGAACGAAAAGAAATCAAACAGTTTTATTTTTATTTTTATTTTTGATTTATTTTTAATTTGGAACATTTCTCGATTTATGCCTGTCATCCTTGCGCAGGGGCCATGCAAATCTACAATTCATCGAGTCCCTCTCTGTATGGAAATGAAATCCGCATATACATAGAGAGAAGATTAATTGGAACGATACACAGAAGGGTCATAAGCATGGCCCCTGCGCATAAGCATGGCGCCTGCGCAACCAATTTATGTGAAGCATCCTTGGTTGCGCAGGCGCCATGCTTATGCGCAGGCGGGCCATGCTTTTATGTGAAGCATCCTTGGTTGCGCAGGCGCCATGCTTATGCGCAGGCGGGCCATGCTTATGACCCTTCTGTGTTCCCCCCCCAAAAACGCATATACATAGAGAAGACCTTGACGCCCTTAAAAAAAAAAGCAGAAAGAACCTTGACGCAGGCGGAGGCGGGACATCCGTTCCGTTAAAGTTGGAACGATACAGAGAAGATTGGCGTGGCCCCTGCGCAAGGATGACAAGCATTAATTAATCGAGGGCTCCACGCAGTTCAGAGATCGTCGATCATGCCGCGTGTCGTATCATGCCACGTGTCGTGTCAGGGGGTGAGGCGGCGTAATATTTTGCGGCTGAATTTGTATAGTACATCCTCTTCTCCTCGCGGGCTTCTTAGCACATCGATAGTTTTTGGGCTAAGGGGGTGGCTCCACTACTCACCGAATGTGCAAAATGAAAACGAATCTTCAAGGCATCTTCCTTTAGGACAAGGGAAGGTACACCGCCCTATTTCTTGTCTTTTGTGCATGTGGTGAGTAGTGGAGCGAGGCCCTAAAGACCTTGTTCGGGCAGATCGGGAAAAAGCCCGGTTTTGTATTTTGTGTCTCCGAAATTTGGACCATTTCTCGATGGGTTAATTGACAAATACCCCTGGAAGTTGATATATATGCCGAAATGCCCCTGAAAGATGTGGGTAGAGGGGAATGCCCTTTTGGGCCTAAATCTGTGTTATACCCCTGTCAGGTGGGTGGCCTTGCCGTTTTGGCCTTGGCCTTTTGCAACCGGGCCTTGGAAAAGTTGAAAAGTGCCGATGGTGCCCGGTAGGGGTATATCGCAAAGATGGGGGGTTCAGCCAATGCCAAGGGGTATTACAAAAAAAAAAATGTTGTCAGAGGGACATTCCACTCTACCCACATCTTTCAGGGGCATTTTAGCACATATCTCAACTTATGGGGGTGTTTTGAAAATTGTCTACCGCATGGGCGCGGGGAACGCAGCCCTAAGGTAGCCAAAGCAATAGGACTAATAAAACACGACCAAGTTCAGGCCGACCGTTACCGGTTTTCACTGGTAGTGTGCCTTCGGCTACTTCGTCCATGGCTTGCGGTATTGCAGTTTCCGACTGGTTCAAACCCGGCGCCGGAAAACGACCAGGTTCACACCGGGCACTTCCGCGCTGTCCGCGTCCGTGGCTTGCGG